ATGTAATGCACTCAGCTATAGACCCATGCCCTTTGTAGGTGGGAGTTGGAGAGAATGGGATGCTAACCTCTGTGGAGCACCTATTGTGTGTCAGGGACTTCATTTGTGTTTTACAAATCTTAATCCCTGCAATCCTGGAAGAGGGACATTATCTCCATTTACACAAGAGGAACCTCGGCTGAGGGACGTTAAGGTAGAATCGGGTCTGTAGAATTGTAAAACCGGGCTGTTTTCCCCCATCCAGATAGGCACCTTCGGGAGGGAACTGTGGGGGACACTCCTAGGTGTGAGGAGCCTGGGGGGAGGGTTCAGTGCCAATGCTGAAACCCCTCCCCCATTGCTCAGGCCCTGCCCGTGCCTTAGGACCTCCTTTCCCCCAGTAGGGGGCGTAGGGAAGCCCCAAGCCACGCCCCCTCTTCTCTGTTTTGGATCCTGAAGGCTGGAAGGAGAGAAAGATAAAAGGCCTGGGCAGGATCTCTATCCTGTCCTGGAAGCTGTAGGTACAATCTGCTCACACCCCTCCCCACCCCCGAACCTGCCCACTGCAGCTCATGGGAGTTTGCAGAACTCAGTGGGCACCCTTTCCCCATCTTCAGACAGACACGGAAAGAACAGAGTGTAAAAGCCACAGTTCTTATTCTTATTTTGTTTCAATTTGTGGGGAGGGGCAGGGAAGTTGGAAGCAATCAATAGAAGAGCTGGGATGGGAGCCCCCTAAAGGATGGCTCCAGATTTTCTGTCTACATATTTGCCATGTGCGCCTAGAGACTCCACTTCTCCCCTTTGCAGTCTCTGTGTCACCCCTCCTTTCCCTCTTCTCACTCTTTCCTTAGACAATAGGAGGGACAGCCCAGCGGGGGAGGGTACTGCCTAGCAATGCCTTTCCTGGGGTCCAAAATGCAGAGTCAGCCAAAGACCATTACATGGAGTTTTTTTTTTTTTTCTTTTTTGTCTTTTTTACTGACCGGTAACGGGATCGCAACCCTCGGTGTTGCGCCTGCACCACGCTCAGCCAGTGAGCGGGAACCGGTCTCCACATGGGATCTGAACCCTCGGCACTCTGCGCTCCCAAGTGGCGGACTCTCCAGTGCACCACCGGGCCGACCCCATATTGTATAATTTCTGTTAGTCTTTTTTGTGTTCACTGATTCCTTCTTCCATCACCTGAAATCTGCTCTCAAACCCATCTAGTTATTATTATTTTTTTTCTTTTCTATTGGTGCATTTTTTTAAGGATAAGAATTTCAATTTAAAACAGTTTCTATTTCTCTATTGTGATTTGCTCTTTGTTAAATCATTGTCACTATATTTTCCTTTAATCCCTTAAACATAGTTTTCTTTAATTCTCTGAACGTATTTGTAACAGCTGTCTTAAAATCTTTGTTTCTGAAATGCAATACAGCACTCTGCGCTCCCAAGTGGCGCACTCTCCAGTGCGCCACCGGGCCGGCCCCCATTACATGGAGTTTTGAATGAAAATGGAGCTCCTCACTTTTTATCTCCCAGCACAGATAATGCACAGGTATGCTCAGTGCAGGATCCCAGCATGGAATACGGGAGAGGTCTCAGGGACAGAAACTTGTCTTCCTTTTAGGCAGGGCAGGGCCCAAGGCATTGTGTTCACCTCATGCCAAGAGATATGTGTCTGTGGGGCTATGCCATTGCAGGCCCTGACTGCCCTTTGGGGGTAGCATCTGCAGAAAGATGAGGTTGTTCCTTTCTCCAAATTGTTTTGGGGCAGTGCCTTCCTCATCTCCCCCTCCACGGAGCAGAGGCATAGCCAGTGAGTCAGGTCTCCCAGGGTAAAGTGGAGGCATCTCAGCCCTGGCTAGGTCAGAAATAAAGAACTGCCTCTGCCCATTTTGACTTCTGGTTTGCTGGAAACCTCAGCTAGCCTGCAGACCAAGGTCCCCCATGGGCAGAAGTCTTAAAGGACAGCTCTTCCTGTGTGGCCTTGGGCGGTTCATCCAACCTCTCTCTGAATCTGTTTCCTCCTCTTTAAAGCAAGACTTCTTAGAGCCTAGCCTTATAACACCAAAGTCATGGGTTTGGATTCCGTACTGGCCAGCTGCCAAAAAAATAAAGCAAGACTTCTAGTCTGTCCCTGGCTGGGCAGGTTGCTATTAGGCCATGGTGACCTGCTTGCTGGTGAGGGCCTCAGTGTGCTTCAAGTACCCTGTAAGAGCAGTAATGACAAGGGGCGGGGTAGAGCTGGGCATTGTCTTGGGGGATGGCCACCCTGTACTGGGACTTGATTTCCACCTGGCACCTAGCTTCATGATTTCCTGTTTGTTGTCCCCTTCAGATGGTGTTGGGGACAGGAGGGAGCCCTGCCTGGCACAGTGGGGGTCAATTCAGCTCACTCTTGCTGAGGGCTTGCTAAGTGCAAAGCCCTAGAGAAGGACATGGGGCATGGTGAGGCTCAGCAGGATGGGACCACAGGTCTGCTAACATCTGCCACCAGAGGCCCCTCACCCCCAGAACCTTCTTTTTTTCTCTCTTCTCCTACTGCCCCAGGACACTGTGTTCTGCTCTGACTGTCCCATGACCTTGTCATTGACCAGAACAGGCCTCTCCATTTCACTAGCTCTGGAAATCCTATCCATCTTTCAAGGAACATCTTGGATGTTGCCTCTTCACAGAAACTTTCACAGATGTTCCCCCTTCCTTGCCACACTCTCCTTCCCTCCTTTGAATGCCTGTGGATCCTTATTTTTTCTCTTACAACATCATCTCTACCATGAGGTTATTTCTCCCCTGTTCCTGCAATGAGCTATAATCACTTGGGAGATCTTTCTCTGACCACAAGGTATTTGATGGCAGAGACTGAGTCTCAGGTCCCTTAGCATCTAGCAGCTGTGGGCACAGAGCCTAACACATAACTGGTGACCAGGAGCTGCATCATTTGAGAGGAAAGACACCAAAGACATGGAAGCACTCTGCCCTCTTTCCCAGTGTCAGACCCCAGCATTTGATCTATAACCCCAGAGCCCCACACCCACCTATCCAACAGTGGACTTCTGTACTTTGTAGTCTCAGGAACTTTGCTGTTGGATAAGCTGCACACCAGAGAGTCCTTCTTGCTACTTCCTTTCCCATCCCCCCATTGATTCTACCTTTAAAATACCTGGTGAATCCACCTTCCTCTTTCCATTACCACTGCCAGTTTCCTAGGCTAAGCCCCCTCTGTCTGGTGTCTCGACTGCTGCAGTAGCTTCTAACTGGTTTCTCTTGCTCTCCTACAATCCATTCTTCACATAGCTGCTGGGAAGATCTTTTATACTGTAAATCAGATCTTGCCTGTCCTCTGCTTGGAACCTTTCTATGTCTTCTGTGTTTAGGATAAAATCTGAAAGCCTTATTGAGACCTACAAGCCGGCCCAGTCTGGTCTTAAGCCTCCCTCTCCAGCCTGGTCTTGTTATCTTTTCCTCTTGAATCTTATGCTCTATCTATCCTAGTCTTCCGTCAGTTCCTTGAATAAACTCATCAATGTCTGTAATCCCAGGACGTTTGCACGGGTTTTCTTTTACTGGGACTGCACTCCTTCCTACTCTTTGCCTGACTAACTTCTACCCTTTTTTAGGTCTGCTTTATTTGAGTTCTTCCCTGATCCTTCACTCTAACTTAGGTACCTACATTAATTCTCCTTCAGAGCACACTATATACTTGTGCCATTATGCCACTTATCTCAGTTTGCAATCACATGTACATATATATTTGTGATTATCTGCTTAATGGACGTTGCTCCATAAGGTCTGCAAGGGAAGGTTCACCAGCGTATCCACATAGAAGTCACTCAGAAAATACAATTTTTCTTGAATAGGCCTGGCTTGCTGGGAACATGGGTTTTGGGGACAGAAAGTTCAAATACCCACTCTGTCCTTTATATTAGTAGCTTGATCTTGGACAACCCTCCTAGCCTTGCTGAAACCTCATTTTCTTTATTTGTAAAGCTTATCTCTTGGAGTTGCTGTGAGGATTAAATGACAACATATGTACGAACCTGGCTTCTGGAATATCCTTGGGTGGCATGTAAATTCCCATCCCTTCTTTGTAGAGAGTGGAGTAATAGGATCCCCTCTTTATAGGGACCTTCCCAACCTAGGCCTTTCTTCCAATGAAAAAGCCATCCCGAAGGCTTCCGGAAGGAAGTGGTCAGCTGGAAGGCACCAGCCCCCTTCTTTTATCTCTCCTGGGCTGCACAGTGCCCGATCCTGGTTCCTCCGCAGGGAGACACCCTGGGCGGGGCTTTGCTCGCCGGAAGCACGCAGAGCGTGGGGAGGAGAGCACCCTCTGCTTGTGTTTGTGCCAACAGCACCCGCGTTGCCGCGTCGGGTTCCGGCGGGCGGGCGGCCGGAGTCGCACATGATGTCACAGACAATGACACAAGCCGGGTGTCTCATTCCCACAGCTCCCGAGCTGCAGTGTCACACCCGGGACACCCGGCACGCCGCGTTCGTGACGCTAACACTCGGCCAGACGCACCCGGGCCCTGCGCCTCCTGCGTCTCCGGGGGAGCTGGCCTGGTCTGGCCTGGCCGGGCAGGGGGCCGACGGGCGAGCCCCGCGGGCGGGATGGCGAGCGGGTGATGTCACGGGCAGCGGTGGGTGGGTCACCCAGAGGTGAGGCGCCGCCAGGAGAGTTCAGCGAGAGTTCAGCCGCATTGCATTAGGCAAATGAGGCCAGGGCTGGGTGGGGGTGTGTGTGAGGGGGATGACACCGGGACCACTCCCCTCCTCCCCGCCCCACCACCGCGGCTTCGCCTGGCTGGGGATTGACCAAACCACGGGGGAGGCTGGAAGCCAGAACTGGGATGGGGTAAGACACCCTCCCCTCTTGCGTCCTCGCCTCAGCCCGCAGCCCCCTCCTTTCCCTGCGCCCTGCCTCCGTCCGTACCCTGCGTACTCCTCCTCTGGTGCCTTTTCCCTTCCCTTCCTCTCTCCTCTCCTCCCCCTTCCCAGGGTCCCCCCACTCGCCTGTCCACATGCCGCCTCTCCTTCTCCGTTCCCTGCGTTTCTCCCGCAGCAGCCCGACCCGCCCGGAATGGGTTAAGCCAGGGGCGGTGCCTGGACGGGGCGGGGCTCAGGAAAGGGGGTGGGACTCTAGGGGAGGGGGGCGCTCAAAGCTGGGGTGGGGGTGCGGCGCTCACCACCGGAGACCCACCGGGCGTCGGCTGTCCCGGGCCTGGCGGAGGCGGAGGCGGGGCCGCGCGGGGCCCCCACCCCCACCCGGAATCCTCGACCGGGAGAAGCCCGGGAGCCCCGGCCGGGAGGAGGAAGTGCTCGGCGACTCCCCCGCCCTGCTCCGATCCCGCCCCCGACCTGCGGACTTGGGGAGCCTGCGGACTCTGCCTCGGACGCCACGAGATTCGAGACGGGAGCCCCCTCGAGGTGAAGCCACGAGTTCCCGGGCCTCCGCCGGGCGTTCGCTGGGGGAGCCGAGGGACCCTCTTCCCAGCATACACAACTTCTTCGCTTTTCACCTGGGACTGGCGGAGCTGCCGGCGGACTTAGCCGCGGGGACTTCAGGACAGGGGGCGTTCCCCTGCCCCGGTCGCCCGTTGGGACGAGGGGACGTGCCCTCGCTCCCAGCTGCTCTGCTCGGATGGCGCCGCCGGCTGAGTGAGGGGGCGGCGCGCAGGACTTCCTCGTCCGGACCCTCTTGTCTTCGCGGGGGAAGATGTACGAGAGTGTGGAAGTGGGGGGGCTCACCCCCGCCTCTAACCCCTTCCTAGTGGTGGATTTTTATAACCAGAACCGGGCCTGTTTGCTCCCGGAGAAAGTGCTCCCTGCCCCGGGTCCCTACTCCACCCCGCTCCGGACTCCGCTTTGGAACGGCTCAAACCACTGTATGTACCGGCCTCCCCCTCTGCTATTATAGGAGCTGGGGGTGGGCAGTGGTTCTTACACTCCTACGCAGGGATGCGAGCCCGGGGACGTGGTAGGGGTCTCGTCGCTCCCCATCACTTCCCACAGTCTCTTGCTGGACAGATGGGATTCCCCAAGTAAGCCTGGGCGCTATTTCTGTTATATCAGGACTGAAGAACTTTGAGGGTTCTTCCTTTCAGGGAACATTTTGTTCATCTCTTCTTCCACGTTTTCTAGGGGACATGAAGCCCAAGCCCCTTGCCCCCACTTTATATCTTCTTGCTTGGAATCCAATAGCTTCACAGCAGGCTGGACGGTAGGTTAAAGGTCCTGTCCGTGGGCTTATCCTCTCTGAGGAAGAGGGGCCTTCTCCCCGGATCCCACTCCTGCTAGGCCTGGGGGAGAGCCCCTCCTGTGCGACAGCTGCTGCCCCCAGCCCTGCTCTTGCCTCATTGGAGTGGGTGTCAGGGGAGTGCTTGATGTCTTTGCTGTTGGCAGTGGGGTGTTGCAGAAAGGGTCAACTTCATCAGACATCCGTCTGCCATTCTAACCTACCCTTACATCTTGGGGAGGGGCACCTGGTCCATCTGGGGATTGTCCTGGCTCCAGATCCTTGGCTGGCATCTTTGAGGCTTCTGTGCCCAGGAATGGAGGGGAGAAGCTGCTCTGGTGGGAAGAATTCCCTCCCCCTAATTCTAATCTGGTTTGTTCTCTGGGAGATGAGTTTGTTTTTTGTGGGTCTGGGGCTGCTCTGGAAATGAGGAGTGCATCCCCTCCCACTCCCACCACCGTGTCCTTTTGTTATCCTGTCTTGCTTAGGGATAGGGCCAGGTTTTGGGCTGCCCTTTCCTAAGAGGGACGCTGGGGAGAACCCTGGCAGCCTGACACCTTCTCTCCTATGCCCCCTGCCTGGCTTTAGGCTCCTCTGGGAGGGAGGGGTGCTGTGCATACACAAGAGCTGTGAGTGGGGTGCACACCTGGGCATACTCATGCCCAGCTGGGAGGCAGTGTACACTGGGTGGGCGAGAGCAGGTGCTAGGGAGTTATTGTTAGATGGCTCAGGTTTCTTTCCCTACCCTGCTCTGGGCTCAGCTCTTCCCTGGAGGTTCTCCCACCCTCCCGGACCTGCTGCTTCCCTCCTGTCTGCCACGGAGGAGGGGTGGTGGAGGTCTCTGGGGATCTGGCAGATTGGAGAGGGTTGCGGGGCAAAGGACTTGCCCTACCCACAGCCCCTCTTGTTCTAGGAAGAGGGACCTGAGGTAGACAGCTGACCTCTGCCCTCCCAGAGCCACCTTAACCCCAGCCTTTCCTATTGTCCTGTCCCCTTACCTTTGCTTCTGGGGCAGAATTGGCTGTGAAGCTGCAGATGCAGGAGGGAGGATGTGACTTGGGAAAAAGGAAGAGGTGAGAGGGTAATAGCAGGATCCTCCATCCTATTCTCCCAACTCTGGAAGACAGCCCCCACAGTGGAATAATTGGGGCAGGGCTGCCAGGATCACCCCTTCCACTTCCTTGGCCACCTTCTCCAGAGGTCTGGAGGGAGGCTGGGCTCTGAGACCTTGGACTCCAGCCTCTGTCTCTTCCTTAGCCTGTAGAGACAGCTCAGCTCTTTCTTGCCCAGAACTGGAGGGGGAGGAGGATCGCAGAGAGTCGAATTGGGCAAGAGGCAGGAGGTAGATTTGGTGAGCTCTGCTTCCTGCAACCGCTGGACATGGGGAGGTGGAGATCCGCCCTTACACCTGGTCTGGGGAGGGTAGAGCTAGAGGCTTGGGTTCCCAGTTCCCACAGTCTGTGTGTAAGTGTGTGTTCCCAACATCTGGTGTCAGTCGTCTGGGTCCTGGGCCTGTGGGGTTGGGAGTGATAGGGATGTAGGGGTTGTTCCTGCGGCCGAAGAGCGGCCGAAGAAGGACCTGGCGTTTGCAGGTGGTGACTAAACCCTGTCTTGAGTATGTGGGGCCAGTGTCAGCACCTTGGAAGGAACCCCTTGGTGTGTGTGGAGGTCCTCTGGTGATTGGAGCCGCTTTCCTGCCTGCTCTTGGAGAATTCCCCCCCCCCCCCCCCCCCCCCCCCCCCC